CGGCCTCGCAGTGGGAAGGGCCGCTGGGGCTGCACCTCAGGCGCCGCGGCCCGGGTGTGGGGAGCGGCGCCGCTGGGCCGGGCCGGGCCGGGCCGGGCCGGGCCGGGCGGGCGGGTTGAGTGAGTGAGGCGGCAGGCGGGAGGACCGGGCTGCGGGGAGGCCGCGCCGGGCGGGGGTGGGCAAGCGGCGGGGCAGCCGGGCGATCACCGTTCCGTGCTGGGCCCCTGAGCCCGGCGCGTTGCGGTGCTCTGTCCGCTGAGGGCGGGGATGTGCAGATGGACGTGACACTGCGTGTAATTCTCTGGGAGTGACCCTTCTGTTGTGTTGGTGACAGCGGTGCTTGGCACAACTCTCTGCTGCTCGGCCTAGGTCTGCGGAAAACACACCTCTCCAGAATGAATAAAGACGCCCAGATGAGAGCAACCATTAACCAAAAGTTAATAGAAACAGGAGAGCGAGAACGGTACGTAGGCTTCTTACTCCGTGCCCATGACAGGCTTTAAATATTACCAGACATGAACTATTATCTAGAAGTAAAGATGAAGTAAACTTAACCCTAAATACTTTAAAGGTCTGTGTGTGGAAGTCATAGGTATTATATAAAGCTGTATATCAAAAAACCCACTTATTTTAAAGTTAAAACCACAGTTTTACTTTAATTTTACACTTGAAAAGAGAAGCTGGGAAAACAAAGGATGGGGTGGTTAGCTAATGAACTCTAAAGCTTTTTCTTATTCTGGTGGTTTGTGTTGGAAACGTCTTGGTTCATATAAAAATGACCATGAAATGTTATTTTTTTTTGCAGTTAAATCCTTTTATTTCCTGACAAAGAGAATGAGACAACACTTTCCTTTTTGCTTTTAAGTTTTTCCTGTATTCCTGTCTTTCCTCATATTAGGGAAAGAAATATATAGTGGAACACATAAGACAGCTTGTGTGCAAGAATTTTGCTGGAGTTATTTAGGAGGGTACAAGATAAGTAGGTTTGCTAGATGATGGAATAAAGGATGAAGGTATTGAAGCTTATTTCATCATATCTTACTTTAATTTTACCTTCTGTTTTTTAGTACTAATTTTCACTTTTTTAGCCAACTTTTAATATTCTCTTTTGATATATGGAGTAGATGTCTCATTGTGGCAGACTGTTATCTTTTTTTGTTTAATGCTTGAATCTCTGTTGCTTATAATTGCTAACTGCACTTAGGAAAATGTACGATCCCTTCATCTTCACCCAACACGAGGTAAAGCGTAACTAGGGAGAGAAACCTGCAGTTGAAGGTGGTAGTACAGAATTCTTTCAGAAAGGAGGGAGGAAGGTTTTATTTATTTTGAAGGCCCAGTTTCATCTGAAATATTCTAACTTTGAAAATTAGCGTACGTTTGTTAGCAGAGTAGACTTGGGCAGTTCAAGTGATTCAAGGGCTTCTGCTTCTTTTCTGTGGCTGCAACATCAATGCTGATTGAAGAAATACAGCAAATTAGCTCCTGAGCTGCTGACTCCTCGTTATCCAACATGGTAAACTAAAACTGGCACTCATCTGAGTTAGGACTCACGTGCAGTTCTGCCATTTCTGCTGCTGGCCTGGGGGTTGTGCTGTGAGAAGTAATTGTAAGCTTAACTTTCACACTGAAGCATATTTAAGCTGTCAGGAATGTTTGCGGTTCCTAACAAGTTTGTATATTGTCTTAACAGCCTTAAAGAGTTGCTGAGGGCCAAATTAATTGAATGTGGCTGGAAGGATCAGTTGAAGGCACATTGCAAAGGTAAACAGTGGTCAAATAACTAATACCCTTTGTAACCAAGTGGTGTTCTGGCCAAATAGAAGTCCCACATGAACGCTTCACTACCTAACAATCAATTTAAATGAGAGTTGGGAAGAGGAAAGTACCCCTGGCAATTGATTTTGCATGCAAGAAAGCATCTTGCCATCTTGGGAAAAAGCTCAAAACTTCTTCTGCAATCTGAAACTTATTAATCTTCTGAGAAAAGTATTGGAATTGGTTTCCTAAATATTCAGCTTTTTATTTTGAGAGACATGTCCTTACCACAGGACAATAAAAACCAATAGGAAGGAAATATGGTGGTACACAACTTAAAAACTTAAGATGACTTTGTTGACTGGGAGAGGAAGAAGTGCATTGGTACTCCTTCTGAATACAATTCTTGAAAATAAGATCATCCACTCAGATAGGAGAAAACAAATGTAGAACCTCTAAATACCCAGATCTTTTAGTTCTGAGTTAAGTATTTAGAATTATTACAATTTACTGACTTGCAAATTGTATGAAACTGTTATAATTAGTATTTAAGCATCTAGTATTATTGCTGCATGATGAAGTTTCCTTACAGCAAATAAGAAATCACTTGAGCTTTTTCTTTAATTCTGATTTGGTCAGTTGTGCCTGGCAACTCAATATTCCATTAAAAAGTTTTTCTCTTTGTAGGGCTCAGCGTTTAAATTATTTTCATAGGTGGATTTGCAGAGAAAGCTGAAGTGATTCCTGCCTGCAGTTGTCTGCCTGATGCCACTACCAGAGAGTGCCCATTTCAATAGTACAGATAGAAAAGGGTTGTTTTCCTGCCTTCTCAACTATACACTTTATAATCTGTTACAGTAAAGTTACTAAAAATTGTTTGGTTTACGTTAGTCCTTTGAACTTCCAACTGCAGCTGCTTAGAATGCAAATACAAGTTCAGCTGTCCCTGTTAAGGGCCCAATAACCTCCAATAACAAGGACGGAGAGGGATTTGGGGTTTTTTTGTTGTTCTGTTGTGGTGTGGGGTTTGTTGGGGTTTTTTTGGTAGCTTGTTTTAGAGCCTCCTGCCATTGTGGATTTGGGCCAGTAATTGAGCAATCCAGGATTCTACAGGGAATTCAGCCAAGAAAAACAGTTTAGAAATAGTTCACGTGATGTCAGTTCAGAAAACATATTTAGTGTTTTGGGGACAATCAGTCCTATGTGAGGATGTATAGTTAAAAACATTAATGTTTAGACAAAATAATTTAGATTTAGGACACTAAATTGAGGTTTCTTCTTAACATTGACTTCTGCATTTTTCAGTAGTCTTTAAGGCACTATAAGTAGACAATTTGTTTAAATACTGGTATGTATTAATCATACAGTATATCTTAGTCATAGCTTTTATTTTGCTGTAGATGTATACCTTTCTTTTAGATGTACTACAGTAAAGTAAAAAAACACATAGAGATGTTGTTTAAACCAGTTAGGAAGAGTAGTAAGTATTTAGTGTCTTGGTGCTCTCCCTTGTTGTATGTTCCAAAGTCTATTTCCAATTGCATCTCTTTATTACCTAAATAATGTGTTTGAAAAGTTAAGCGCTGAACTGCTGCAACGCAATATGCACAGCTGGTAATGCTCAGATAAGCTTAAACTTTGTAACACTGGATTTTAAAATATGAGCTGATCAAGTTATATCAAGTAGTGACGAGTTCCCACCCTTAAACCTATGGTATGAATGAGAGACTAAATCCACTGCACAATGCAGTGTAAGTACTGAGTTAATAACCTATGTTTAGGTCACAAGGTGCTTCATCTTCTCTGATGACCCATACCTGCAGGTTTTGTCTCTTAATCATTGGCACAGGTTTTGTCTTCTAATGAATGGATTAAGAGACTTAAAATAACTGTCTTGGTCTTCCCCAGATGTCATTAAAGAAAAAGGATTAGAACATGTTACTGTTGATGATTTGGTGGCAGAAATCACTCCCAAAGGCAGAGGTAAGAAAATACAAACATGGATGTGGATTGACAAACATACCTGCCTGTATTTCATTAATATTTTGAAAGAAGCACTATGAACTGTGTTGGATTCAAGGAAAAATGTTAATAGCTTGATACTACCTACAAATAAAACGTGAATTTGTGTTGTGTAACAGCCATTCAAAATCGGTAATGAGCTCTGTAGGCTACTTCTACAGGTTACATTATTTAGTCCTGAGTCTGTATTCAGCTTTATAATTGACTTAATGGTCTCAAGAAAACTTGGGCTACAAGGCAGAGATATTTTAAAATTCCAGTTCTTTGTAAAATGGAAAATCTGTACTAACAGTACTGGTGTAATGGGAAGTTGGAAAGGAGAGGACGTAGCGTATAGATGCAGAAAAAGGGAATCTCTTACGGAAATACTGCAGTCTTCTTTATATAAATAGGCTTTGGTGTTAGTGGGAGAAACTTTAAGTCTTAAATAAAAATAGGCCTTCAAAATAGCTTGCTGAAGACCCTTACTCTTTTTGTGTGTGTGTCTTAAATTTGTGAAGAAAAAAAGTAGGATAATCAAACTAGTTTCTGGTTATTATATCCTGCTTACTGTTGAATAATCCTTTCCCTCAAACTTTCCAATTTTCTTGACTATGGCTCAGAAAAAAACTACCAATAGCAACTTCAATTTGCTATTGGAGTCTTCAACAGACTTCAATTTTAGCCTATTTTTAATTGGGAAAAATACAGATGTGCTATATGAAAATCAAGTAGCTTCAGTTACTTGGGTATTAACAGC